TCCAAGTCAAATAAGGTTCTGTGTTCTGTGTTGCTGCTCGTGGCCATTCCAGTCATTCCTGTGCAAAGCCGTGATCCCCTGTTCATCTTTACTCTCACCTCCTTTCTCAGTCTGTTGTGGTTTTCCATCCTAGGCTTTTCCTAGTTACCTGCACATTAATTGCTTTAGTCCCCCCTTTTCATTTGGCCTTTTCTCGGCTGCTCAGTTTTCTTGATATGTGTGTGTTGATTTGGACTCGTAGGAGCACAAAGTGCATTTGGTAGGAGGAGTGACAAAATAAGCCAAGATCCTTCAATGTGGAAGAGAGGCAGCTGGGGAGGAGATATGTTGGAGGTGCATAAAATCATGAATGTCATGGGGAGGGTGGGTGGTGGTTGATCATTTGTATCTCGGTAGAAGAACTAGGAGGCCTTTGAATTTGATAGGAGGAGGCAGGCGCAGAAAATCCAGGGAGGTGATTTGCTGAGCTGTGGGTTTCATGCTTGGGAATTCTTGCTGCAGTGTTATGAATGTCAAAAGTTTATGGACAATAAAGGGACAAACACACAGGCTCGTGGGGGGGAAAAAGCTGTTGATGGTTACTAAATACAGGGAGTCGCTTTGGCTCAGGAAGTTTTGGCACTGCAACCTTTTGGAACTTGAAGTTCTTGGGAAGTTTTTCTGTATGCTTGTCCTATCCTTTTACTCTTTCCTGTGCTTCTGCTTTGGGTTCCTTTTGGAGACATGATACTGCATTGGCAAGCTGGATTTGGCCCAGTAGCATGCTGTTATTCTCTCAGTAGAACTTTGAAATAAAATAATTAAGGCTTTTAAGCATGACCAAGCATGTTTCTTCTTCTGTATCCCTCTTTAGCATTTTATATGAGCTCTTTTTATGACTCAAGTCTAACAAAGTTCATCTGGGTTACTGTTATGGAAATCTTCACGTCCAAAACTGATGTTTTGTGACTGTATAAGAACTTCCTTCTGTTGACAGTGTAAAGAAAATATTCACAGTTTTAGATGCATGTTCCTGCTGTCCTTTTTTGTAGCAATATAGTGCCTGGTTACTGTAGGCGCACGGACTTGGGATTTCTTCAGCACAGAGTGGTCGTACAGTGCATGCTATATAGTTAGCACATACTAAAAGGGTAGCATGTGCTGAAGAGAGCACAAAGAAGCAGTCCTGTTCTAGGTGTAGATAGGCACTGGTCTGTGTAGATGGCTTATCCCAAGCATTGCTGGTCTGTTGGGGTTTTGAAGAATCATGAAGTAGATACCAAGTGTTTAGAAGCAGCTCCTCATGAAATGCGAAGGACAAAACCGGATTAAAAACCCCTCCTGAGTGCCTGGGGATTCTCCAGTGCAGTCACATTGTCTTCTCTTGGTACATAAATATATTTGAGCGTCTTTCTCCACGTGTGTCCATTGTAAGGTGAGAATCCATGGTAAGAATTTTTGTTTGCCTTATCATTTCAATCCATGCATGTTTCTTGGCACTTTTCTCATGCATTGTACTATAAATGCTAAAAAACCAAACCAAAACAAAAACAAACCAATGCACAACTAGCCAAACAAACAAACAAAATGAAAAACCACCACACCCCCCCAAAAAAATCCCCACCAAAAAAACCCAAAACCAAACACCCCAACCCCCTTTGAACAAACAAAACCAACCTAACTAAAAAACCAATGGAGAACAAACTGCAGTTTATCTTTCTTGATTTTTGATGTTGAGCACTCTGACTTGCATCTTTAGCATAACTGCAGTTATTCTGGGTTTAGTTCATTCCTGGTTTGAGCCTGAGACAGGTTTAAAGTACAAAGGTGAATATGGACTTCCCAGCTTCATCAGTAAGGGATCCTTCTGTGTCTGACTGTTCAGGCTTTAAAAACAGGTTTGCCAGTTATTCTAACAGATCTCATATGACTTAGGTAATTTCCACAACCTTTCCAAATACCTGCCAGCTTGTCTCTTCTCTCTCCACTCTGACCATTTGTCTTTAGAATGTGTAACTCTGACCCAGAAGGATCATTTCCTGGAGGTTTTCCCCTCAGAGAATAGCAGGAAAGAATCAGCAAGGAGAGCTTGTGAATCCAAATGGTAACATTTGATATTTTTTGCTTTGGTGAGCAGGTACAGGATTGTTGAGCTGCTCAACTAATGAAAATTTCAAATCTTTTGCTTCCTTTGAGAAAGGCAGGAGACTTGGAGGAAGTCCTGAGACAACATTCCTTAGGACAATATTTTCCTGAGACCATACCTTAAAAATCCATACCAGATAATTCCTGAGCAGTGGGTTAATCAGGCTTCGTTGATATGTCCCTGCAGCAGTTCATAATCATGGAGAGACCAGTTTACTTATTCAGCTCTCATTTCAAGGACAGTGCTGAACAGATAATTCACTCATTTGCTTTGCAGAGAGCATGAAGGGTGATGCTAGCTCCTTTAAAATTTTAAAAGTGTGTATCTTGGTCAATCTAACCTATTTAGCTGTGAATTATGTATGATAGTGTTCTATGACAGTGGTCCATGCAGCTTGAATGACCTCTTAAAAAACTCAAATCCTGGCACCTGCAAGGCAGCGAAGTGTCTGTAGGGAAAGAGATTGATGTCACGCTAATATCATGATTTTAAATGTACGTCTCACTAGACAGCAGGAAAATTAATTGCATCCCTTAATACACAGTATTAGTCTCGCACCCAGCCTCCTCCCTGCCTTTAGCCCTTTGCTCAGCCTGTGCTGCGTGCACAGCCTGGCCAGTGGTGCTGGTGGATGGGAGCGCCTGGCATTGCCATATGCCTTTTCTTGCTGGTTGGTAGCACGTCTCTGCTTCTGTGAAAGCCCAGCAGGAGACCAGACCCCCCCGGGGCCGAGCCGGAACCCGGAGAAGGGGCGGTCACGGTATCTCCGATGTCGCCCTGTTGTGCCACTTTGATGTGAGGCGAGTTCTCCAGGGATTGGTTCCAGCTTTGCAGAAAAAAAGAGATTGGCCTGGAATCAGGAGGTTAGGCAGGTGGAATGGAGGACACGTGCACCCAAAGACCGTGGACAAGAAGATCTAATATTATCACAATTATTTTTCTGGTGTTGCGGATGATTCAAATGGTATTGTCCCTTATGTCTTGATAAAGTAGTCTCTACTAAAAACAAGTTAAAAGATCAAATAACTAATGTACCCCTTGGAATCCATCTGTTGCATAATTTAGAGAGGCACTAGCACTTGAAATAAAGCTAATTACTGGTACCGTAACTGGCATTCTTCAAGATGACATGCATGTTTTATGTGACGAGGGAGTGGTGGTTAGTTCCAAAACCTCTTAACCTTGAGGCGGTGTGGGAGGGTAGCTGGACCTCGTGGGTGAGCAGAATGAATCGCACGGGCAAAGTTTCTCGGTGCCCAGCTCTGAACGCCTGCTTCGGTCTGCAGTGAAGTACAGCTCGAGAGAGCGTTGTGGAGAACCCTGGCTGAGAGGGCAAGGCAGTCTGCTTGCAGGTATTTAATTTAATAAATTGAGTTTATTTAAGGAAGCTGAAAAAATAAAGGAACTTTTACATATTTGCAAAAATCCCTCTGAGGTTTTTTCCTCTAAAAAAAAAATGATACAGAAGCACATTGTTTCTGAGTCTATGGTTTCCTAAAGTAGGAAAGAATAAGGAAACAGAATATATTTGCGGATTGCTTTGTACCACCATATGCTTATTTCCTTTTATGAACAGTTAAGGAAAAAGGTTTTAGTGGCTTTCAAGATTAATGTGTGTTGAGATCTTCACCAGAGAATAATCAACAGGCAGTGGACAACTGCTGAGGGAGGCTGTTAATCAGAGAGTGTATATTAAGTGCCAAGACATGACTTTCTTTTCCTTGGTTGACATTTAAGCCTAATGAAATCTGTCCTGCCATGTTGTATGAGGGTGAGCTGACTAACTCCCTCGGAGTTAGATTCCGGTGTAATTGTAGAATAATTGTCTGGTATTCCCCCCCCCCCCCCCCCCCTTTTTTTTTTTTTTCTTAGACATTTAAAACCCATATTTAATAAGTTGGTGAATCTGGTAAGTAAAGTATAGTATAATTTAGTAAATTTAAGTGAAATTTTACATGATACTGAATTAAATTGCCTTTTTTTTTTTTTTGCTGGAGTTGACTGAAATTTAACATCTGTGTTTTAGGACTACACAGTGAAGTAAGCTGTAAGAGGTACTAAATTGTCCTTATGCTTCCTTAACTTGGGGTATAAGTTCCACTATGTTGCTATCACTTCTTTAATCTCCTTTCCTAAGAGAGGGAGGCCTGCATGACCAAACTGCATGTTGGTTTGGTTTTTTTTTCTTTTTTTTTTTTTTCTTTCCATATTAATTATATTGAAGATCTTCACTTCCCTGACAAATACGATTTGAGCCTGGGCATCAGGTTTCAAAGTTAAATGAATTTTACAAGTTTTGTTTAAAGACAAGACAACCCTCCAAACCAAGATCCTGACAGAAACCCTAGGCAGGGCAGAGGAGTGTTACTGATCTGTCAGCCAGGAGAGGAATGCACTATGCTTGCTCCTTCTGAGCACCACAGTGTCTAACATGCAAATCTGTAGGGCGCTGTGCTTTGGCTCTCCTGCTTGTGGAGAGGTCTTACTTGCTTTGTATTTTGCAAACAAAATCTCTTTGAACAGAAAGAAATTCTTCACATGATATTGCTATATATATATATGTGTGTGTGTCTGTATATATATATATATATATATATGCAGCCCCAAGTTTTGCAAATTTAAGATTAGCAACTAAAATGTTTAGAATTAATGTTTCCTGTATCATGCACCACTTTAAAAGGTATTAACAAGTATAAAGTTTATCTCTGTATGGAATACGACCATTAAGAAGAGATGTCTGTCTTTCTACTGATCTTTTCATTTGCCAAATATAATCAAACTGTTTCAGTTGAGGGATAAAATAATGTTGTTCACAGTAAGTTGCTCTTGTAACAGAAATTCTAGCACAAACAGTGTTTGCCATTTTTGTCTTCAGAATGATTGAGGAGAGTGGGAAGAGGAGGAGGACAATGGCAGAGAAGAGACAGCTGTTCATGGAAATGAGTAAGTAAGAAATTTGAAGACATAATGTCATTTATTCTTTACTGAGAGCTTTGCTTTGATAGTTTTACCAGATCATTTACATTTTGTTTCCACAAGACCATTGCCTCATCTAGTGAAAAGCATCCTGGGTGCTCCTGGGTGCTGCTCGGGAGAATACAAGAGGTGGGTCACAGCTGCCTAACGGGCCATTCATTTCTAGGTTTTGTGAAGCTCCTCTTTTAAGGAACATTCACATTTCTCATATATGACAATATGTAACGTTTGTGGACAGCTATTAAAATAATGACAATAGACAGATAACCTTTTACCTTAAAAAACCAACCAAGCGAAAAAAAAAGAACAACTTTAAAAAAATTGCACCACGATCTTAGTGGTGCAGAAGAGAATGTTTGAGGGGGTTGATTTTTGTACAGGACCGTTCTCTGAAAGAGAAGCTGTAGTTGTTACTAGAAATCAAATGCCCATCCAGTGATAATGTAATTTAAAGGAATGAGACGCAGCCTTTTAAAAAGCTATGTGCAGTTTGAAGTAAAAGATTGTGTGTTTGCATGACATCATGTTATTTTACTTTCCTACGGGAGCACAAGACCGAATTAAATTCCTAGATTAGGCAAGCATGTCCTATAATTCCAGTTACAGGCTGATGAAGGTCTGCTTAAAACAGTAGTATATTTATGCTATTTTGTTGAAGGAATTCCAGAGTAACGTTCTTACAGTGGTTATAAGCATAATATAATTTCAGGAAGTTTCATTCCTGGCTAGTTTATATCTGCTTCCTCTCATGTGAGACCAGTCTTGGATAGTGTTTCTCCCCACCTGCCCAGCTTGGTTTGCATTTGAGTTTATAGTTGTGTCCCTTTTTGGCCTGTCCAACATATGGCACAAGCTGACTCCTGTAGCCTCCCTGCTGTACGCCTCATCTCCAATTCTTCTCTGCCTCTTCAGTTTTCCTTGAGCAAAGGTGAGTGAATCGTGGGATATCCTGGATGAAATCTCGTTAGAACCTTTTAAAATGACCACAGAAAATCCACTAGAAATGCTTTGCCTGATGCATCAGTGTATTACATTTGTCTCATCACCTTAAAGTGCTGGAGTCATCTGGTGATCATTTAGAACAGAATTGACTTGCTAGTGTTTAGCTTAGCCTAAATTGTTAAAAATACTCAGAATTCTTCTGATTACCTTTGCACAAAGTGTCTCTTTTTGCAGCTGTTGATTATCAGTGAAAGTGCCAGTGTATAGACATTCCCAACTGCCTTTCTCTGGAAGGCTCTTTAGCATATCAGTATGGGAAATCTAAGGTCTTCAGGCTTCCTCTGTCCTGTGGTGGAAGCGTTCGCTATAAAGTAGCACAGAAATGCTTTTCTTTCTAGGTGAGCTTTGTACACAGAGTAGATGTGTGATGTTTAAAATTGATGCTTTCAGTGACCATGCGTTGTTGGTCAACATAAAAATTTCCTCAGGTGTTTAGATAATTGCTCATGTGAGACGAGAGTAGGCCTTGGCATTCACTCACACTGGACGTGCTACCCAAGGATGTGTTTGTTGGTTTTGTAGTATTTACGGAGGTGTCTGACAAGAAAGAATTCTGTGGAAGCTATTCCAATTTCTCTGAACTGCAGAATACATACGGAGTTTTATCTTATGGAAGGCTGTAAAGAAGATGGAGCCAGACTTTTCTGAGCCCAGTGGCAGGATACAAGGCAATGGGCACAAACTGAAACACAGCAAATTCCATCCAAATGTGAGGAAAAAACATTTTTACTGTGAGGGTGGTTGAGCACTGGGAGAGGTTGCTGAGCGAAGTTGCGGAGTCTCCATCCTTGCAGATATTCAAAACTTGACTGAATGCAGTCTTGGGCAAATTGCTGTAGCTGACCCTGCTTGAGCAGGGGAGGTTGGACTAGACAATCTCCATCTGTCCCCTCCAGCCTCAACTATTCTGTGATTCCGAGCTATATAGGTTGTCTTGAAAACACACCCCGTTTTATCTTTGAGTAGTTTAGAAGAATGACCATGTTGAAGCTTTTGTGGTAGTGACACAGGAAGATGAGAACAGAAAATTGACTTTCAGAAATGTCTTTTTCCTTTTGTATGTAGCTGTTAAATGATCTTTTGTATTTATGTATAAATATACATACATGTGTATTTTTATATGCATATATTTTATATAGGCAAAGCATTTTGTGAAGACTCATGGTCTGTGGAAGTGCTTTCTGTGGTTTGAAAGATAGAAGTATGCACCCTAACTGAGAGTTTTGAAAGAATATTGCATAGGCAATACAAAATGAGCCGTTTTGTTGTAGCCTGGGATCCGAATACTCCAGCTTACATTACCTGGCCAGGTACTTTCCTGAAATATATCAGAGACTTGTTTTCTAAAGGTGATACTGTGAAATAAACCCCCTTCAGTTTGTTGCACCACGCTATCGAGCAGAGGGCTCCTCGGATGTTGGCTGGTCTAGTGCCACCCTTGGGTAAGCTGTCAGGGGAGCTTTGGGTTGGGAAGCTGGTCAGCCTCCTCCCTGATCTTACCAGTCTTTTCACCTCATGTTCTGCATCAGTGATGAAGAGAAATAATCCTGGTATGTTATTTCCAAGGCACAGTATGTAGGTCTCTAAGAACAAGCAGATGCTTTGGCATGTGTGCAGATGCTTTGGCATTGCATTTGCAGAATTGTAACTAAATAGCTAAATGACAAGAATCCACCCTTAAATTGACAACTGTGAGTCAGTGGGTGCATACACAAAGGTAATTCAAATGAGGTATTTGCAAGTTGGTTTCTGAATTCAGAATGTAGGAGGGAATAAGATACCACCTTTGAGCAAGACCCCCTGATATAGCAATCGGATACCTTCTTCGTGAGGATGTGGGTTTGTTTGTTTGTCTTCGTTTTTAAGTATCTTACAGAAGTCTGAATTCTGGAAGTTAATTGTCCCCATTTCTCAGTTCTCTACTCCTCTAGCTCTGGCTTTTGAGAGAAGTACAAAAGACTGCAGCAGATCCCACTTTTGTGCAGTGCCGTGAGAGGCGCGGGCGCCGTGTGCATCCACCCCGTTGCCCGCGTGCAACTGGATTGTTTCAGACTGCACCTCAGAACTGTAGTGATTCCAGGACGTAGCCACTTATCCTGTTGAAATGCGAGCCATTTGAAAGGCATTTTGCTTTATGATTAATGGGATTTTCGAGACTTGTTGGCTGCTTCCGATTTAAAATGATCAATACTGGACTTTAAACCGGGATCATTTATCATCCCTACATCATTTATCATCTCTTTCGATCAGCATAGGCGGTACACAGGTCTGTGTGGCAGAGGGTTAACACTTTCTGAAATTGCTCAAGTCTGTGATGTTCAGAGTAACTGCTGGCCCTGGTAGATGTGGTAGTGAGAGGTGCAGCATTCACATCTTCTGGGGTGTGGTATTGTTTGAAGGTGCAACACACATCTTGAAGTGGGAGGCTGTTTGTGACGATAAGATTTTTTTTTTTTTTTCTATGCTTTTTTCTTCTGCTTCTTATGTGATTTGGATCTATTTGGGAGACCAAAAGCATTATCTTTTTTGTACCTGTCTTCCAACATCAGTTGAATCCTCTTCCTTACCCACTTACCACTAAATCCTTGCTTCCTTTTAAGGTACTCGTATCAGTCTCAGACTTAGGTCAGTTTAAAATACATTACTGAAAATCACTTTATCATGAGATACCTAATGAAAATCTTTGTCATGTTGATCTGACAAAGATGATGTGTGTGAAGAAACACTTGTGTACCACTTTTGAAGTCATTCTCTCACAAAAGCTGAATGTTAAAGAGGAAAGAAAAACACAAACTTTTTTTTATTCATAGGAGCACAGAATTTTGATGTCATCAGACTTTCAACGTATCGAACAGCCTGTAAGCTGCGGTTTGTACAAAAAAGATGTAATCGTAAGTTATAATTACTCTTTATCTTCAAAAATTTCTCATGCATGATTGTTTCAGCTATTCTACCCATGTGAATTTTAAGTACAGCAAGAGTAGGCAAACATTTTGTCAGACAATAATAGTTGTTACTCAAACTAAACCGAGATTAAATATATAATTAAAAAGAGGCAAATATATAATTAAAAAGAGGCAGCAATCTTTGTCCAAACTCTATAATAGCTTCAGTTTTATTCTTTAATGTTTCAAAAATTTCAAATATTTGAGCCAGTTTGACATATTTTGGTTGCCCAGGTGTTGGATGCAGGCAGTCTCAAGCTGTTTGAGCTGTTCTGTCGTGGTGTTCCACAAACCTCCGACAGCACAGCACAGGTATGAGGTCGGTGATGCGAAATACAGGCCCTAGCGTGAAAGTGCCTGGACCTGATCATGGTGGCATATATGAAATGCAGCAAGAGTAAAGAATTACTTAAGTTCGTACCTTACTAGTCAGTGTAAGTTTGCTCATTCTCTTCCGTGGCCCTTTGACCTTGGATAGCTCACCAAAGCAAAGACGAGCCCAGCGGTGGGTTGGTGATCCTTCTCTGCACCCTGCTGCCAGTGTTGAACCGGGCACAGGAAACAGCGGGACAGGCGGCTGTATGCAGGAATCGGTCCCTCCTCCCAGGGAAGCAGAATTACTGAGTGTCTGGTGTGGAAGAGGACCAGAGAACAGCTGAGGAGTCCTGCAGAGGACACGTGCAAGTGCACACTGCAAATGGAAGCTCCTCCGTAGCGCAGCTCACCCGGGGGTGTGTGTCTTAGGGCTGTTGTGGCAGCACCCACAGTGCCTTTAGTTTGATGGATGGCTTACAGCTCTTTCCTTCCCGTGGAAAGGTGTTAGTTCTTGTCTGTAATTCATGCTTTTGAATTAAGAACCTCTTAATCAGTAGAGAGGTATTAAGAAATGCTAATTATAGTACGTTGCACACTTTGGGCCCGATTCACTGATGCTGTGCATATGCCTCGAGTAGCCTTTACTATACATGTATGGATGGATGAGGCTGTGCATTAATGAGCTTTGGACCACGGGGTGATCCAGGGGCATATGCTTGATGTGGATAGGTAGCTTGGCTTTTATCGTCGTGTGGGGTTTTTATGTGAGAAATATAAAGTTGAGTTTTATGTGAGAAATGTTAAAGATCACACTTTTACCTCAGACCCTTTTTTATAGATTAAGGAAGATAACAAAAGTTGTGAAGTTAGCAACTAAATCTGGCCTTTGTAAACTGTTGGATCGGATTGCTGTTGATCCTTAGATGTCTTCTCCCACTATCAGACATACCTTTCAAGCTTTGAAACGTTTGAAAATATTATTTAATCTGGCTCTGCAGATCCCTTACTGTGGTTTTGGAAAACTTTTTCTCTAGCGCTTCTTAGATATCTGCTGAGATACGGCAGAGTAATTTAATTTAGGGAAACACTTTGGAGTTCTAAACCTATGTTTACAAAGTATTATGCTCGGGACTTGGCAACTGGATCAACTGGAAACAGTCATAGCTTAACAGGAACGTCAAGTTCCTCCTTCAATACTCAACTGCTAGTCAGCATGAGGATGTTCAAAATTATCGTAACCAATTTGTAGTGGATTTAGAATACGGCTGATGTCTTTGTGAAATGAAAATATCTAACTCTGCTAAAACGCACTGCATGATGATGGAAGATTGCTTTTCTCCTTTATGAAGTTGTTCTGTCAGAGCACCCAAATGTCGAAGGGTGGAACAAAAGGCACACAAAATGTCTGGGCACTGCTCTGTGACTTTAAACTAGCTGACACGAACTATGAGTATGAATATCAAGAGTCTGTCTCTCTCACTTTGAATATGAATAAGTAACTGTTCATTCCACAATAAAAGCTAACATAGTATTCAGAAACAGTACCATAAAAGTAAGCTTGCATGCATTACAGAATAGAAGTTAATTTTTTTTCCTTTATTTTTAGTTCATCTTGTTGATATCTGGAATATGATTGAAGCCTTCCGAGATAATGGCCTTAACACTTTGGATCATAACACAGAGATCAACGTGTCTCGACTAGAAACAATCATTTCATCCATCTACTACCAGCTAAACAAACGCCTTCCTTCTACTCACCAAATCAGTGTAGAGCAATCCATCAGCCTCCTCCTCAACTTCATGATAGCAGCATATGACAGGCTAGTAACTCCTCTAGTTCTATTCTTAAACTAATTTTCTCTTTTAGTTAGATGAATGCAGCCAAAAACTGCATGAGTCTCTGGCAAACTGTCCGCATGCTATTTCTCAAGTTTGTGAAATTGTGCGTTGCATATGCACACACATATATTTAATATCATAGTGGTGCCTGCAGAGGTTTACATTGCCACAGCAGCAATGCTTTGTCTTAAAAATTGCTTTCTTAAGAAAGTTTAGTGCCTCCTGGAACTTACAGACTGCTCTAAGCTGTGTATCTGAACTGAAGATGAAGTGAAACTGTTCTGCAGACTGTGATAGAACATAATGATAACCTTGTGGTGGTATAGCACTGTTTTTAAAAGTGAAAGTGTTTAATTGAATCTTGGTCAACAAGACCATTTCATAATGCAACCTTGTTTTGACAGTCAGCTTGCATCCCATTCTAACATGCCGTGACCCCAAAAAGGCTAATTCTCATTTCTGGGCTGGAAGAAGCTTGATTTGTTTAAACGTTTCCTTGTGTCCAGTTTTACAAGTTTATTTTGCAGCCTCTTTCTTCAGGGTTCAGGCTGCTAATCTTCCTGGGTAGATGTGTCTCTGTGGGTTCTCTGAGCAGCAACTTCAAACCTTTCACTGTTCAGCACTTCCTGCTTTTTGTCTTGTCTTTTCTCATGGTCAGCTATCATCTCAGTCTTATTTTTCTTCTGCTTTTGCCCTCTCCCCTAGCAGTAGAGAACTGCCTGTGGTCAGGATGCTGTCACAGAGACTGAGGAGTTTTACCCAAGACAATCTGCAGCACCAAATACATCAAATAATTGTTCTGTTTATAGTGTCCAGACTTTGATCCTTTCCTAGTGTCACAACAGCTTTTTACTGTCACCAAACAGAAGATAAGTTTCCCCCCCAGAAGTCCAAGACTTCAGAACAATCCCTATCTTAATAAAGATTAAAAAAACAACACAAAGCTCGGAGCAGGAAGACTACTATGACAAGAGAATAAAATGTGTGTTTTTCTGTTTAGTTCTGATATGGTATTAGTAGTGAGACAAATTGTAAGGATTAGCTGATGGTTTTAGTTATTCTGAGACAGATCACACTAGAAAATATAGAATTTAAAAATAGAAATGGTCATGTTTTGGGGAGCTGTCTCTAAAGATTGAGGCTTTAGTTTAGAGATATTTTTTTTTCCCCCACTCCTCCCAACCCTACAAGTTCTGCCTCCTCCAGAACCCAAGCAGCATACTTGATCCCAGCACAGTTCAACAGCTTCCCTTTGGCTTCCTCTGTCCAGCACATGGGATTGAGAGAGAAAGTGGGATGCTGCGCTGCGTTGTGCAGTGGGAGAACCAAGAATAAGAGGAGAGGCAGGACTGAGGCTCCCTCTCCAGGAGTTCATTAACATGGCAGACATTTATTTTTTTTTAAAAAGTACTCATCTGTGCTGGAATTGCATCACTGGGGTTGCCGTGTGGTTGCTTGAATGCACACAGTGCAGTGGCTTCTTACAGCATGGTGCTGATGGTGACATGACAGTCATTAGCATTCCACCAAACAGGTACAGGAATCAAAGATATCACAGACTGGTTTGGGTGGGAAGGGACCTTAAAGACCATCTAGTTCCAACCCCCCTGCCCCGGGCAGGGCCCCCTTCCCCCAGCCCAGGGGGCTCCCAGCCCTGTCCAACCTGGCCTTGAACCCTTCCAGGGAGGGGGCAGCCACAGCTGCTCTGGGCACCCTGGGCCAGCGCCTCACCCCCTGCACAGGGAAGGATTTCTGCCTTAGATCTCACCTAAATCTGCCCTTTTTCAGTTTAAAACCGTCCCCCCTCGTCCTACCCCCACCCCCTGACCCAGAGTCCCCTCCCCCCCTTTCCTGCCCCCCCTTTAAGCCCTGGGAGGCCGCTCGAAGGGCTCCCCGGAGCCTTCTCTTCTCCAAGCTGAACCCCAACCCCAATTTGGCTGGCATCTTCCCCATGGAAATATTGAAGTTAGAGCTTATGTTAGGTGAGTATGAAAAGTGCTCTCCATGAATACTTCACTGGGACCCACAGACCTCCACTGTCATGATGGCTTATACTGCATTAGTGGTCAGTTGTGAGGAGGAATGGCTGTGCTATGATGCTCTTCACTGTTTTCTCCCACAGAACTCTGCATGGGTGTTTAACAGTTTATTCCTGGGCTGTTTTTCCTCCATTGCCTCTAATGGCTTTCCAAAGTCCCTAACCCCTTACTGGCACCTCAGAGTAGTGGCTCATTCCCTGACCCCATTGGAGTGTTTCAGAGCAATCAATTTATTTCATCATTTCTAGAAATCACATTTAATTTGACAGTGGGTTAGTTGCTCCAACCTCTTTTCTCTTTTTAAAATGTAGTTATCATAGAGCACTGCATGCTGGTAATAAATGTTCTGCAATAGGGGGAGGGAGAGGATGACCAACAAATAAGTGAGAGAGTGAGTTGGTGATCAAAGTGTGGAGTGATGCGATTAGGAGGAACCTTGTAATCAGCACAGCAGAGCTGGAAGGGGCTCACTTCAAGCATCTGCATATATGTAAGGAAATGCCTTTGGGCCAGCGTTATGCAGAAAGCTCTCGTGCCTCTTCTGGGAGGTCAGCGCGACTGGGTGCCTCTCCGACGTGGCTGTGCGCTGTGGCCTGCAGCATGGGGAGCGAGCAGGAGGAGTTAGAGGTCTGATTCCTCTCGAGAGGCCGTAGTGGGAGAACCAACACAACTGGGGTGCTGCAGTGGGTTCTTGAGGAGGGGGAGCTGCAGCTGGGGCGCAGGGAGCTCTCTCCCTGGGGACGGGTGGGGAGTGAGGGCTCACGGGCATCACTGCTGCGGGTGCCCGCTGCTAGGCTGCCTGGTGAGGAAGATGTAGAGGATGAGGCTTTCTTCAGGCAGCTGGAAGAAGCCTCATGTAGACAGGCCCAGGTCTTTTTTTAAAATTCTGTTTCCCATCCTGGGAACTCCTGATTGTTAGAGGAGTTTCAAAATCATACTGAAAGTTCTGCCCTTGTTCCTTTTGGTGGGGAGTTCAGCAGACTGAATAGCATTGGTACAGAAATCGATTTTGGTAAATTGCTTAATAACTGCACCTCTACCAGATTGCAGGGGGGAGGAGTTCTGGGGTTTTTTCTTGATTGATAAACAGAATGTCAGCAGAAGCAGGCCTGATATCCAAAGACACCATAAAATACCTTTGCAGGGACAAGTTTGTGTCCTGTGAGGAGATGTAGATGGCCTTAGTCACTCATTTTTTCCGGAAGTTCATTCAAAGCTGAACTCTCTTTTGAGAGAAAATGAATGTCTATTAAAAAGAAAAGAGGGAGGGGGGCCAAGACTATAACTTAAGGAGATTTCAGTGAGATTTGCTTGGGTAAAAGTGAAGGTCAAGGCTTAAAGAGGATGAACTTTTCAGACAACCAGTCTCAGATGTAGTCAAGTCTTACTTTTTTACACACAGAGGGAGTGCCAACTTATTCCTTTGAGAAAGTTATTTAAGAGAAAAGGCAGAAACAAAATAGGATATCTGAGCTCTTTATCTTGTTGTTAACTTCATAGTCTTTATATAGCTTGAAATAAATATCTGATGTGTTTAGTTTCTTGAAAGAGCAGTTAAAAGGGTACAGAGTGTCAGCAAAGAGATGGCCTTTGAATCACCATTCTTCTTCACAGACCTTCCTGCAGTTGTAGCTCTAGGAGAGATTGCCTCCTCTCTAGAGGGAATGTTTGAAAGGTACTCTGAGTCTGTGTTGGAGCGTATTAGATTTGAGGTACTTCTCAGCCTGGGAAAGGTTGAGAGCCTTTACCTCACCGTGGGGTGTGGAATGTTACCAGAAGATATTTGCATAGTAACTGAGTGTGAAAGAGGAACAAAGTTATTTGGTTACTTCCCGCTGTCTCCATCTGGTTGTTTGTCAGTCATTGACATTAGACCTTGTCACTACTTCAGTACCATAAGCCAATATTTACTGTGAATAATTCTACTCTTAACATTCTCCAAATGTTAGTCGTCCAGGTGCAAATGTTAGATATGCATCTTCTTTCCACTGAGTATTCTAGAGTTTTTCTAGATCTCTTCCAATACACATGTATTTTCCCCATCATCGTATTTTCTATAATACAAATTATCTGTCCAATTCCTTTAATTACAGTTACCTGAACTTATTTTACTTCTTTTTCTCCGTTTATGTGACTTGAACTTTCTTGGTGGTTTATCAGCCTGTACCACTGCTGCTGTTTATAGTTCAGGATAATGACTCAGTACATTTCTGTTTCGCAAGAAGTTGCTCAGAATTCCCACAGCTTTAACCCGTGTTTACACACATTTCTTCTGCCCTACACACCACTAAACCAATGTTCAACCAACTTCAGGGTAACAGTGGGTTTACACTGAGATCACCACAGTGTTCCTCTCTTAATAACATATATTGGAGGTTCTCTGACTCCTCTCTTTATTGCCCCGGGGGCAGGAGGCGGGATGCATGCCTTCTGGCCAGCGCTGGGCTGGGAGAAGCGTTACTGATGTCGACAGTGCTGTGCTTTAACCCAGCAAGCTGCTTTCTGTCTTTCTGGTGACTTCATTCCCTCATAATTTTGTCTTTATCTTTCTTTCTGTCAACAGGAATAACACACGTAGCTATTTCTACCCATCACACCATCCTGAATGGCCTTTTTATACTTTCCATAGAGACAAATCCATTTTCTCTTGCTGATACTAGAAAATGATTTCCCAAATGTGCCATCTATTCTGATAGCACAGCAGCCTTATTAACTTAAATTAGATTAAAACATTGTTCACATTATTCCTGTTCTGTGTGGTGTCATCAGGATATCATACAACTTCTCCATTAGCTGTACTATTTTCAAGAATGAAATATATATTTGAACATCAGAGTTCAAATCAAGGTGTAAAAGCTTAAAGCAACTAGCAAAGGGTAGCAGAGGAAAAAGATGTTTTACAGTGAACAAATGTATTTCAATGGAAAAAATTAACATGTTACTTTTTTATAGGACAGTTACAGGATGAACAAAACAAATGGTAGTCTCTTTATCTGTGCATTTTTCATAATTCTGCGAGAAAATTTGATTTGTGATTAGATACTTAACTCTTCCAATATATTAAAAACGTGTTATCACTGTTTCCATGTTATATTAAATAGTTTTGGCAGATCTTAGTAGTTAATAGGGGCATTTATTCATTTCCTTTCTAGACTTCAAGTATTTTTGTGACTTACCATTCTATGTAGCGATTACTTACCATATAAATTTTTTTCACAGTGAGGGCCATGGGAAGTTGACGGTGTTTTCAGTGAAAGCTATGTTAGCAACAATGTGTGGTGGTAAAATACTGGACAAACTAAGATGTAAGTATTTTCAAGAAAATCAAACCCATTTTATGAAATATTTTGTTTCTGTTACTGACCACGTATGTTCTACTGTATTGAGTTCTGAAAGATAATTTTGCTTATTCAGCAATCTTTATACTGAAATGAAGCTTGCTATATTAATGTTTTTGTTACACGTGCCATCTGCTGGCCATAAACCATACCGAGTTTGTTATTGAGTAGGCTTTACCAGTGCTTTTCTTTATTTTGAAATGCTTGGGCACTTCTTTAAATGTAAAACTTCAGGTCTGATTTTTCTGGTAGTAATGTCAAATTTGTTGCAATTTCCCCTCTTTTGAGGGCTCTGGGGGCTTCTATATATCTTCCTCTTCATCTGAGACACTCTCTGCATCTTCTCATTTTGTAATTCCAGCTTCTCAGTTCATTTTTTTTTTTTTTTTTTTAATTCCCTTTTCATCAACCTCACTTCCTTTTTTTCTTGTTTCCATGAGCCTTCTGCTGGATCAGTAGAGAGTTGGTGATAGACACAAGCATTGGTTTTGACCTTTAGTAGTAATCCTTGTTCTTCTGTCTTTCTTAGTGGCAAGGTGTACTGTTGTTACGGGTGTTTTTTCTTTTCATTTCCACCCTGAAAAGTTGGGAAGTTAGTCTTACTGTCAGTGCCAGATTTTACTGTTCAGGTCTTGCCACTTTCACCTCACCCTAAATTTTCTTTATCAAAGTTATCTTGTAATAAGTCATTCCTCCTAATCTCCATGGTTGTTATTCACTGTAAATAATTCTTTAGATTTTTCTCCATCATTAAGCTTCTCTATATGCTTTAAAACTAGCAACATGAAATACTAGTGTGCTGAATTAAACTACATGACAAGATCTAAAAAATTGATAGTAAGAAATCATTGCATGCACATATTAAGGCTGCACATGTTTCAGTACCAAGAAATGCTGCTTTTTTAATCTGGTAGTAAAAATAAAAGTCTATGATTAAAAACAAATCTACGTGTGACTAAAGATTAGTGTAAATTAAAGGGGACAAGCATATATGACAGTGGATATTTAAGACTTCTTAAACATTTTTAACAAATGCATTACCTCTATCAAATATGCAAGATCAAATGACTGGGGGGAAAAAGATATAGTCTCTGTCTCCTCAGTAAAAGAATTACGTTTTAGATTTAATTAGGATAAGATTCAAAGAGGTTATAGTAGATGAGCAGTTCAGCACAGGTCTGGGACAGAAAAGGAGCGTTATTTCTAGAATTAACAAGACGATACTGAAACACATTAAGAAAATGGCTACGTAACCTTTTAGTCAAAAAGGCAATTAACCACTGGAATTAAACGGTATAAGAATCAGTAAATTTTTGGTGTTTTTCAGACAAGGACCTAGATATTGTTCTGGAAGTTATATTAAGCCTCAAGTTATTGACTCAAAAGGTAGCTAGTTAATATGCTTTCACCTTAAGGATACCTCAGCTAATAGTCTTATTTAACAGGTATGTCTAGTCTTAAAATTTAAAATTTGTGCAATTAACGTACTGTTCTCTCTCTCTGCCTTTTCATAATGTCTGGTTTTCATCATAGCATTTGAAGCTTCTTTTTTCTTTTTTCTTATTCTATTGGCTCCTGTTTCCTTTGCCACTGTAACTGTCGTCTTTATAAAAATTCTTAACTGACGTTCATACATGTTGGAGGAAAGGCTTTTGACTACTGTCACTGAATAGCGCTGCTGCTCATAGCTTTGCTACATTCGGGCTGTCATACCTTTTACTTATTCTTTCTTGTATCTTGTTAGCTGACCTTTAGTTGGCATTGTACTTCTGGGATCTTTCCTCCAGTATCTGCTGTCCCTTTTTTCTTGGCACGCATCTCTGGAGAAGATTTTCAAAAAATATGCGACTTTGTATTTGACATGTTTTGGACAGTAGCACTTTTTTTTTTTTTTTTTTTTTTAATTCAGTATTAAAACCCTGTTCCTCTCTTTGCCTTTTCAGTATGTTGCACACTGACTTCCCTCCATTTGATGTTTCTGAGATAGTTCTTATGACAGAGTACTGACTTGACCACACCTATTTAAAACCTGGTTTTGGTGAGGGATTTTTTGTCAGGCATAATATCTTAGGAGTCAACTGAGAAAGAAAAACTCCTTTATCTGTAGCAGTAACAGAAATGCTGATTTGCCACTGCTTTGTATGGTCATGGTAGTCCACGGGCACCATCTGTTGAGGACTCTCCCCCATCACTTCTGGACACTCCTCGGTCCCCTCGTGCTCGTTGTCACTGCTTAGGCAGAGAGAAAGTTAAAGACTGGAACCACTCCACTATTATTCTCTAAAATGCTCACAATGCCATGCGCAAAGCTGGACACAGAAGCAGCCTCACCACATGATTAACAATATTGTCCAGGAAAAAGGGATTTTGGCTAATTTGGAACTGAGATTTTAGGTGTATAGAAAATCTGTGCAAGACAGAAAAGCTTTCTCTAAACCAGGATAGAATTAGGCTGTTGACTTCTCAGACAAGGTCACAGGACAGCTTTCTGTGGAATGGGGGAGAAAATACGAGATACAGGATAGTACGATCCTGTGAACCTGAGGGCGGAGGAGAAGAGAGGAAGTGTGTCATGTTCTTAGTGGAGTAAGTTTCTGAGTGTCACCAGAACTCAAGAAAAGTAATAAAATAGCTGAACTGGTTACCTGTCTTTCTGAAAATTTTCCAAGGGGCAAGGGAATGGGAAGAAGGAAACGTCATGTGAAGTTTGGAAGGGGAGACGTGAGGAGCTGCAGGCCTGTATACCTGACATACATTTTGGGCAAACTGTTAGTAATAAAGAATAGAATTAGTTGACACATGGATACGTGAGGTTTCATTGTTGGAGGAATTGGCTTTTGTGATAGGATGCCTTATAAAACCACAGGAGTTCATTAATAAGGGCAAAAAAAAAAAAAATGGACAAAATAGTTCTGGCTGATACAGACTTCTTGGCTTTCTGAAAGACATTCAAATAGGTCCCTTATCAAACACTTAAAGACATTTAGAAGTTTGATGGAAGGGATGAAAAGTGGGGTCTTTGTGTGGGTAGAAGATTGGCTAAAAGGAACCAAAAAGGTCCTTTTTGCATACTGAGGTTGGTGGATAGTGCTGGACCTGAACTGGTTTTAAGTCATGAATGATCTGGGAAAATACAGTGAAAGGTGTCAATTTGGTACAAAGTACCTCAGTGTATTAAAAACTAAAATAGACTGAAGAGTTGCAGTATCATCTGAGAATGCTGAGTAACTGTGAAATAAAATGATAGGTGACATTCAGTGAGAATATATGTAAAGTGGTGCATGCTGGAGGAGTGAAGTGTGATCCTGACGTGACGCACAGAAAGGTGAGCTAAGGGAGTTGTTGCTCAGATGAGAGATCTTGGAGCTCATTGATGCTCTGTTTAGTAATGGCTATAAAAACGTATGAAAAGTTACAGAGGGAAGGACGTGGAGAGGTAAAGGCACTATATAAATCTGTGGTGTCTTTAGTCTTTGAATAGGTGCTGCTCTAGTGCCCCGATCTGGCACTCTGCCCTTTCCAGTTCTGATACATCTTTTTTGGGAAGAACAACAAAGATCATCAAAAGTAGAGAAAGCTTTCTGTACAAAGAACAGCTAGATAGAGCAGGATTCTTCCACCTGGAAAAAAAAAGTGGTGGTGAAAGGATAGTGTTCTATAAAATCATGAGCAATGTGTTAGTGGTGAATAAAAAACAGCTGTTCCTTACCTCTTCCAGTACAAGAACTAAAGGGCAGTAACTGAAATTAGCAGTAACAGATTGAAACAACGAAACACAATACTACGTTAAACTTTACCAAAGGATGTTTTCGATATCAAACATTTACACCACTCAGTTACTCCTTGATGAATTTGCCTTCAGTGAAATTGGTTCAAAGGTTGCTGAACACAAGGATAGTCTCAGAGAGTGGAGGAACATTCTGGGGAACGTGCTTGCCTGAGCCATCTGCTGTTGGGATAAACAGACTTTTGATCTGATCTGCCTCAGCTGTTCTCATATTCTTTATTTCAACTTCTGATCATTATGAATATGTTGCCATGTTTTCTGGTTTCCCTTTCCTGTCTTTCCCACCTGTCTGTCTGATTACTGACCCATTTCATCACTGAACCTCTTCTGTTTCCAGTTTACTTGTTCCCCTGATTCCACCCCCACTCCTGCACTGCCTCCGCTCCCTTTCCTAAACAGGCCATCAGCTACGGCTCAGCTGGAACACAAGGCTTTCTGGAAATCCTGGAAGGTGTAAATTATTTTTTTTTCTCATTTTTATGATAGCAACTTGGTCTCTGTACTTGCATATGTACAGGCTTATTTTTTTAAATTCTGAAAATGTGAACAAATGGAGTGTTTTTCAGTCCGTACAGTGTCTGACAGCACATATGAAATGAGAGTTGTTCTGTGATACCACTTCGCTGTTTCTGGAAAAGATTATTTCCTGTGCCATGATATTCCTAGCAAAGGAGTTCCGTTACATGGTGTGCAAAGTAGTTTTAAACCCAGCTTACTGCTGTGGACTTTACGATTTTTTTGTCATAGCTTTTTAAGCCCAAGAGATGCCATATAAAAATGTCAGATTTTGTGGATTCAGATTACTTCATTTTGGTGTTCAGGTGGATGAATTGTGAAGTAATTAGTGCTTCCTTCCATGTCATTTCTGCAAGTAAATTGCAGACAAAACTTCAGGTAAATCAAGACTCCATCCTGCTCATTCTAAGGGCTGACTTCTCTGACAACCTGTGTGGTGCCCCTTGGCTCCTTCACCTCACTAGCTCCTTTTTCTCTCCTCACCATCAGGCTCTCATAAGCTTTTAGTGCTTACTGAAGTTCACCCTAAAAAGTCATACAATAATGTATGCTAAATACTAGATTTCATATAATAAAGGTCCTGAAAGTTAATCTGCTGTTGATGCATTAGTCTAATTGTGAGGTTTTGATTTTGGGGAGAGGGTATTTTGTTTTTTGGAGGAGTGGGGGCGAAAGGGGAGTTCCTTATTTTGGTCCTAGTCAGTAGACCAAAGTAGCAGCAGTAATATGTGGCTTGCTGTGCTATCCTATCTATTCAAACTGAACAAGCTCAGTGCATGATTTTATGCAGGCTTTCTTAAATCTCATTTGTTTATAACAAATGTTAGGGGTTGCCACAACATCTACTGATCTGACAGAGGTAAGGCTGCTGCAGTCTCCTGCCCCATTCCAGCAGTGGTGAGGATAGACGTGCATTCCCAGTAGGAACATGCGCACACAGCCCCACGGACCAACACAGATGAAAAATACCCATGTGAACACAAACAGCACCAATGACCTGGTTCTGTTCCCCTCCTCTGCCTGATCAGGGTGCAAGCCTGTTAGTGGCATAAATACACACCTATATGCCCACACCTGTAGGATATGGATCCCTCCAGAGACTGGCCTTAGATGCTCATCTATCTAGTAGCTGGTCCTTGGAGCCTCTTGGATCCTCTGGTCTCTCCAGTATCTGTTCTAGACTTATGACCTCTCTGATACTTAGTTCAAACTAAATTTTCCTCCAAAAGCATCTTCATAATCTCCTTGTAGATATTTGAGTGGTGTTATTAGGTCTTCTCAGTGTCGTATCTTCTCCAGGCTGAACAATTGCTGTTTCCTTAGCCCATCCTCCTAGGATAAGTGCTCCAGCATGCTGCCAATCCTTGTAGCACTCGACAGAGCTCGCTTCAGTTTGTCTTTCATATCCTGTGATTCTCAACAATTCTCTAATCCTGGGGAGTCCCAAAACTGGGTGCAGTATCTGGAAGAGCTCTAACAAGTGCTGGGTGGCGGAGGCTAATCACTTCCCTCTGCTAGCTGAGCTCTTCTTCATTCAGCCCAGGATGTTGTTGGCTACCTTTGCTGCCAGGGCACGCTGCTGACTCAGAACCCCCCCGGACCTTCCCAGCAGAGCTAGTCCCCAGCCTGGATTGCTGCCAGTCTCTTCCTTCGCACGGGCAGGACTTTGCATTTGTCCATTTTGAATTCCATACGGTTCCTGTCGGCCCATTCCTCCGGCCGGTCTAGGTCCTGCTGGAGGGCAGCCCTTGTCCCCAAGGATAGCACCTGGTCCCCTCAGTTTGGCATCATCTGCAAGCCCGGCCAGAGTGCACTCTGGCACCTCTCCCAGATCATGTTGAGCAGGACATGTCCCAGGACAGATTCCAGCAGTAGTCCACTTGTTACTGGCCTCCACGTAGAATTTGGCCCCTTATCCACTCCCCTCGGCCTGATGATCCAACCAGCTACTTGCCCATCTGGTGGCTCGCCCGTGCAGGCTCTGACATCCCAGGTTGGATGCTGGAATGTTGTGGGGAAATGAAAAGTGAAAAGCCTTGCTCAAGTTAAGCTGGATGATACCTACAAATTCCGTCATCTTATTACAGAACAGAACTGAGATGCTCCGGTGGGATTTCACCTCAGTAGGTCCCAGTGACGGATCCCAGTCACCTTTTCTTTCGTGTACACGGGAATGTGCACCAAGATTTGCTCCATGATTTTCCCAGGAACCAAAGTGGGACTCACTGGCCTGTATTTCCTTGGATTGTCCTTTTTACCTTAATACATACATTGGATTAATGCCAAAAAACCTGCACATGCACACCCCCCACACACACCATCCCCACCCCCCCAAAAAAAGCACAGCCAAACCAATTCATCTGTTAAATTTATTTTCTTGGCTTTTACTGATATTAAACCTAGTATTTAACAAGTTTTTATGAATTTGTACAATAAAAATTGTCAACTTCATAGAAGTTGAGACGCAGGATACACTCAAGGTCAAGACCCTAGAAAATGAGGGTGCCAGGTTTTTGTTGCTTTGTTTTTAACTTAATCAGAGAAATGGTAGAGCCTTCAGCGGAAACTGTACAAAACATCAGGCAAATATCTTGCCTGAAAAACACAGAACAGTCAATTTTGGCAGTATAAGCAACTGAAAAGAGGCTCTCGAGGGAACTGTTGGACAGGTTTAACAGATTATATTACAAGCTCTGTTCTTAATGTTAAAGTTTTACTACAAACATTTGTAAAAAGGAAATAGTGAGTTGCACAAGTACCATTTTATGTTAGTATTTTGGGGACTGAGCAGTATTTTTTGTAGTTTGTTTTTTGTTTTTTTTTTTTTAACCAAAGAGAATAAAAAGTTTATAGCATATTAGCATTGAACTGAAATTTTATAAGCGAGTTAAAGTATAATACCTTGTCATCAGGACACACTATTAACACACGCCTGTTGTGACCCTGAGCTGAGCTCTTGAGGAATTACACTGTTAGCTTCTGTTTTGTTTGAGGTTTTCTCTTTGTGGGCAATTTACTGCCCTTTGAAAGGTCAGATGACTATATAATTATATCCTACTAATCTTTATCTTTTCCAATTTCACTGGTGATTTCCCTTGTGGAAGTTCCCCACTGAATGATTTCAACTTTACTTTGACTATAAAACCACTTCTTTATGGCCACATTATATAGGTTAGTGGGATTTGGGGTTGTTTTTTTTTTGTTTGTTTGTTTGTTTGGGGGTTTTATGTTTGTTTGTTTTGGGTTTTTTTTGTGTTTTTGTTTGGTTGGTTGGTTTTTTTCTTTGTTTGTTTTGTTTTTTGTTTTTTTCTTTTTTTTTTTTTTAATTTACCCTTGATATTGCCCATTCTATTTTATTTCTATTTCAATTTATTTCCATAACTTTAATTGCTTTCTCTTTAAAATCATTTAAATCTTGCATACTCTTCAGTTCAGATTAATAGACTGTATATACCCGAAGATTTCTGTCTTTTTTTTAAATGCAGGTACTGTCATGTTCCAGTCATGTTCCACCAGTCCCAACTTGACAGATTTATTACTAGACCTTCAGATTTTGTGCATGTGCCAGTTCTGGAGTGATTCTGATCTAGACTGCATTAGGATTCTGGAAGTTTGGCTCTGATTAGTTTTAGTTGTTTCCACACTTTCCATTTGTGTGCATTTTGGTCCTGACTTTTCTTCATTCAATTATCAGATTAAACCTAATTTTTCTGCTTGGCTTAATTTTCTAAAATACAGCATTGCCCCTGATCCCCATTTCTCCTTTTTTTTTTTTTTTCTTTTAAAAATTTTTTTTCATAGAATGGTTTGGGTTGGAAGGGACCTTAAAGATCATCATTCCCCCATTATTACTAATGTGTCTTGTAAGATTATTCAACAAGGGCTTCAGACCTTCCCTTCAAGCTTGTCTGTTTAACCAGTGATACAAATTCCAGATAGCTTTATCACCCTTGTTAGATATTTTATATTCTATAATATTTTGATAATATACTGATACTATTTATTTTATTATTATATATTATTATAATATTATATAATACATAATATATTAATAGTATATAATTTTTCTAGTTTCCTAGAAATACAACTTTCTGAAATAGGTACTTTTTTTACATGGACCTAGGTTTTGATCAAATTAAGCTTATTTTCTGTCAACATATCCTTTTTGATGTTTTAATTACTGATGGTGTCTTCAGTAACCTCACAGATGATTCAGTGTTAGTGAAGAAATCTGGTATCTGTCACCTCTTGGAAAATTTTAAGTCTTACTAATATTACTGCTCTTGTTAGAGAAATCTTCCTTTGCAGAGTAATCTGACTCTGCGAGTATCTCAGAGACCCTGTTTTCCCGTTTGAGACATTTGTCTTTTCCAAAGAGATTTTTGATCCCAGGACAGTTCTGCTTTATCTGTACGCAGCTGTCCTAATACTTTGCATGACATCACTTTCTTATAACATTATCTACACAGCTTCTCCTGTATTTTTACCCTTCCTGAGACAGGAGAGCTGGGAGCTTTGGGCCGGTCGCGTGGGGCGGCTGGAGCAGAGGGGTTGGAGGAGTTGAGCTCTGCAGAGCAGGAGGCTCAGGAGACAGCCTTGCGTCTGCGTGGCATGGGCATGAAAATACCGGCCAAACCGCCATCCCCTGCGCCCCCCGGGACCACCCTCCCACCCTCCTGCTTCCGTGCACACACAGGACTGCTCAACACCTTGCTCGATCCTCTTTTCGGTTTCAGAAACACATTTAGCCCCACACAGCTAGTTAAAAAGCATACCTACTTTCACCGCAAGCACTTTTCTGGTGTAAGGAAAAAAGTTCCTATTGCGGCTCTTGAGCGTGTGCAGCATCTCGGGTACCAAATTAGATCAGATTTCCTCTTCCCCACCCGCTCGGCTGCTCAGCTCCTGCGTTCGAGCCGTGGAGGCGGAGGTCACCGCACCCCGGTCGCTCTGATCCTCTCCTCCAACGCCACGTTACTTAAATGAACATGCCACTGATGTGCACCAGATTTACCAGGTGTTTTGACTTTGTGATTCTTACAACTTTTTTTAATTCTAGGAGACTTCCCAGGGGATTTTATGTAGTTTTATTTTGAAGGCGTCAGCTCGAAGATGTAATGTTCTGTCACTTCTATAATGCCTCCTAGCTCCTGCTTTCTTGCTGTTACAGTTCACGCACTGGCAGAACCTCTTCTCAAGACTGGGTGAGGTGGGATGCAGGAAAGAGGAAGATTTATATCATAGCCTGTTCAGATACGTTTGTTTATAAATTTTATCCCGATAAAGTGATGCGAAATTACGTTCAGAATAAAACAAAAAATTATTGGGGTTTAAATGGATTGAAATAACTTTTTTGTTTTCTGTAGTAAGCACATATTTACTGTAAGGTTTTATTATATTTTCTTACAGATATTTTCTCTCAAATATCAGATTCAAATGGATTAATGATATTTACAAAGTTTGATCAGTTTTTGAAAGAAGTTCTAAAACTTCCAACAGCTGTGTTTGAGGGGCCTTCTTTTGGATACACAGAGCATTCTGTACGGACCTGTTTCCCACAACAAGTAAGAGAGAACAAAGCAGGATTTTTGTATTGCTTGCTAATGTAGTGCTTTTTTCTGAAGTCCATGACTGTGGTGGTTGTAGTGGGAATGGGGTTTGGAGGGAGGGGGGGTTGGTAATTCGTGCTATAGAACCTAAGCAGTTTTAAGAGAGTCAGTAAATTAAAATAGTATGTCTAGGTTTTAAGCAACTGAAGGATTTTGCACCATTTTAGTTTGTTCCCCCTCCTTGAAGGGATATGTCTGCTCCCCATCAGAACAACAGCAAGGACAACCTATTTCTTTTCTAAAACATGACATTTTTACTATTTTCCCTTGATTTTTCTGTTGTTCCTAAAGCTTTCTCAGTGTGTTAAGAGTATCAGTTTCAACAAATCACTTGCTAGTTGGTTGGGTCTGTATAGAATAAATACGGTATGTACACGTAGTTTATTTTAAAATCAATTTCACTGTTGTGCTTATTGGTATAGCTGCTTTTTTCAAAATATTGCCATTCCATGTAATGTTTGGAGTAGATGTTGTAGTAATGGTCCTAAAAGAGCTTTTTATTTCTTTATACATTGTAGTTGTAATTTAATTGTTCCAAGGATTTGTTTCTAATTTAAGATAATGTAAATGGTATAAATAATCCTTAAATCAACTGTAAACATGAACCTTGATAATTTTAGTTCTCAAATTAAATGTTCAGACTCTGGTCATGATTATGTTCCGGAAGAAATATTTCTGAAGTTTTAGATTTACAATTTATAGTCACTTTTTCTAAATTTAAGTTAATTAGCAATTAGTTTATTTGAAATACTACACAGTAAGAACGAGCCTTTGATTTAGGAAGAGGGCTCCAGCTCATCTGTGAGTTACTGAGGTCAGAGGGTTTTTTTTACTAAAAGCGTAATTAATAAATGTTTTTTTCTGTTTCCATACTGGCTGAGGCATTTGTGGGCCCATGACTTGTTCCCATGGACGTGCCGCCCTTTCTGTTGTGTCGGTGCAAGCTGTTTATGTGTGCAGGGAAATGGATCCCATCAAGTTTTCTGTATATGATGCTGCTGTTGAACATAAAACTTCAGCCTCACTATGGAGCTATAGAAGTCAGGCACCAGATTCGAAGCTCTGCGTGCCCTTTTCATCACCTGAAAAGGGACTGGGGATGCTGTTTTTGTTTTGTTCAGAAACCTCTGCTCTGGAAGTGACCATTTCTCTCTTACCCATAAAGAGAGGCTAGTGTAGCGAGCTAGACTTTGACAGTTGAGATTTCTAAGGTACTTGATGCAAATCTTGCCACGGTAGCCAAGTGAGGTGTAGTAACCGCCCGTGAGTATGAGCCAGCAGCGTGCCCAGGTGGCCCCAAGAGCACCCCGGCTTGTGTCAGCCACAGCGTGGCCAGCAGGACCGGGGCAGGGATCGTCCCCCCTGTACTCGGCCCTGGGGAGGCCGCACCTCGAATCCTGGGCTCAGTTTTGGGCCCCTCACTCCAGGAAGGACCTTGAGGTGCTGGAGCGCGTCCAGAGAAGGGCAACGAAGTGGTGAAGGGTCTGGAGCACAAATCCTGGGAGGAGCGGCTGAGGGAACTGGGGGGGTTCAGCCTGGAGAAAAGGAGGGTGTGGTGAGGGGGGTATCCATCTCTTCTCTCAAGTGACAAGTGACAGGACGAGAGGAAACGGCCTCAAGGTGCGCCAGGGGAGGTTTATGTTGGATATTAGGAAAAATTTCTTCACAGAAAGGGATGTCAAGGGCTGGCCCAGGCTGCCCAGGGCAGTGGTGGAGTCCCCATCCCTGGAGGGATGTAAAAGACGTGTGGATGTGGCGCCTGGGGACGTGGGTTAGTGGTGGGCTCGGCAGGGTGAGCCGAGCGGTTGGACTCAATGATCTGAAGGGTCTTCTCCAACCTGAACGATTCTGCGATTTGCACATGGGTTGTCTGCAGCGTGTCGTAGCACTCTCTGACTTTGTCTCCCATGAACAATAAAGCTAATTTTTCATAATGATTCAGTTTTAGAAATTTCCTTGCTCTTGGGATTCTGTTTTGCTGAACAAAATTTAGTGTTAAGGCCAGGTTCGTAGAGACTGGTAATATTTTTTTTTTTTTTTTAATTAATTCAGATATACACTGTACCCCAAGACAGTTCTTTCATTTACTTGACAACATTGAAGCAAACAGGTCCTGGGAAGTAGATGGATAATCTGTCTTAGATTTAATTACATTTTCTTATGCCTCCCAGATCTGAAAATAAGCTTCCCAGAGGTACTTCTGTGATATTCTCCTTTTACAGCCATCATTTTGCTGAAATTCTCTCCAGATGGCACTGGTGAAGCTGTGGGGCTTTAGACTTTGGCATTTATACGGTGGACATATAAGTTACATCTGTACTAGTTAACTAAACAGTGCCTTGAGCTGTTCCGTGGTCCTAAGGCCAACTGGAATGGTGTAACCACATCCCTGCTATTAAACTCTTATTCCCTCGAGCAGGGTGGTTACATGGAAACTGTTTATTAAAAAGGATTCCTAGCTGATATTAACACTTGATCTGGATGCTGGAATCATTTGGGGGAGTGAGCAGTTGAACCAGGCACAGGTTTAATAACATAAAAGCATGCATGATTGAGTTTTAGTGCCAGGAACATTCCCTAGTGTTACTTAAACTACCAAGAGACAAATCCTTCCTGGCCAGCTGTGGTTCCTGGCTGCCCGTGGAGGTCCTGGTTCTGGGAGCCACTTCTTTCAGGTGCCAAAGGCTAAAAAACTTACTGCTGTCTGAGTGGTGAGAGGGCAGAGAGGCAAAGAAGTGTCAGTGATTGTATACACCCTGTAATTCTGTTTCATTTCTGGGGTCACAGATGGAATAATTCAAACTTGTTGCCCACGCAAAATGGAGTTTATTGGGATGCTTTTGACAAGAGCTGCATTCTTTGTGATGGCTTCCAGATGTAGAAAGAGCTTCCAGTAAAAATTTACTATTCTAGGTCAAGTGGGTGCTTCCACAGATGTAAGATATCTTGTCATAATTTTCTTAAGACTTTTGTTCACTTGGCTACAATCTATTTGTTGGAGATGTTGTATCGCCATGACTTTCCCTGCCTTAGAATCTTTCTGCGTCTGTGGCACAGCCTGCCCTGTCGCTGCAGAGGTGGGTCCACTTCATATCTCATTTACAGAGTAGTTCCAGTGCAGCATTTCTGCTGAGCTGAGAAGTTCATTTCAGAGACGTGGGAGCCAGGAGCTTGGCTTCTATACCGTCAAACTGCACCTTCTTCTGCTGAAACTCAGCAGCACAGACTATACAAGCCGGCCTAGACAGGCTTTGATTTGTGCACGCCTTACACAAAAGCTCTGCTAAAGCGCTGGCTGACTCGGGCTTCATGGATGGCTGATAGCTGAACTGGCCGCACGAGCTTCACAGTGGTGTCAGGAGGGTGCTCAGGGTGTACAGTCTTGTTAAAGCGAATAGTAGGGATATGTTTATTAAGGACAGGATGGTCTTCTGTATAAAGGATGGTGGAAACATGCTCTGCTAGAGTTAGAGACACAGGTGGGGGGTCTGACACAGCTGCTTAGGGCGGTAGAACTTGTTTTGATCACTGTAGAGTTAAAAATCGCACCACGTCTTTGCTGGCTCAGGGGATGTGGTTTTATGCCGGTATTTTGTGGGGAAATATACGCATTAACATCTTGTTGAAACAAGCATGTTGGCAGTGTAACAATAAAACTGGCTGAGTTTTTGCTATTGAAGCAAGCCTACGGTATTCTTCTAAGTACAAGAATAGCATTGGTATAACCTGTCGCTGCACACACCTGCAAGAAGATCTGAGACTACAGAGCTAGTCAGACAAGTAGGTATGCTAACAGCAATTGGTAAAAACAATTATTAAAATGGGATAGAGAGTAAGCAGGTGATTACAGAGAGTATCTATGCATAAATATTTGTTCTCCCAGGGAGCATTTGACACTCATGGCTGGTTGTGCTTTCACATTTACTAATTTTATGTTCTTGGAGTTTGGAACCTGCTGCCAGTTTATTTGGTGGTTGTTGCATCACAGAGGGTGACTGAGTGAGTTTTTGTGGTTGCTCAATGGTTGGGTTCTGAACCCAGTAAGGAAATGTTAGACCAGCTAAAAGAAAGGGCTTGATCTAGGCTTCTTCTCTGACACACTCGCAATTTCCATGAGGAGGAGACTTTTGTTTGCTTTCCTGTCAAGTCAGCATTACCAAGAATGCCTATGCCCAGACAGATAAGATGTAGCAATGATAATGCTGCATGATTCTTTTTGGTTGATTGGTTGCAAAATATCCTACCTGTATTGGTGAAAAAACCCCAAAGCCTGTGTCCCTACTGCCCTCTCGTGAATTACCTGGAAGTTGCATCATTCCACACACGGGCTTTGACAACTAATAAGGTTCTCGCTGCTTAAAGGGAAGCAGTTTTTCTCTTTGAGGAACAACCATGTCTACAGCAGAAAGAACCTCTCCTGGTAGGTTTAGGTACTTCGGCCACTGTGTGTATCATATACTGCTGTCTAATCATAGAGTCATCGAGTCACAGACCGGTTTGGGTGGGAAGGGACCTTGAATCCCCCCCAGTGCCCCCCCCTGCCCCGGGCAGGGCCCCCTTCCCCCAGCCCAGGGGGCTCCCAGCCCCGTCCAACCTGGCCTTGAACCCTTCCAGGGAGGGGGCACCCACAGCTGCTCTGGGCACCCTGGGCCAGCACCTCACCCCCCGCACAGGGAACAATTTCTGCCTTAGATCTCAACTAAATCTGCCCTCTGGCAGTTTAAAACCGCCCCCCCTGGTCCCATCCCCACCTCCTGATCCAGAGTCCCTCCCCGCCTCTCCTGCCCCCCCTTTAAGCCCTGGGAGGCCACTCTCAGGGTCCCCCTGGAGCCTTCTCTTCTCCAGGCTGAACCCCTCCAACTCTCTCAGCCCGGCCCCCCAGGGGAGCTGCTCCAGCCCCCCCAGCATCTCCGTGGCCTCCTCTGGCCCCGCTCGAGCAGCTCCGGGTCCTTCTGCTGTTGGGGCCCCCGAGCTGGCCCCAGCACTGCAGGGGGGTCTCCCCAGAGCGGAGCAGAGGGGGACAATCCCCTCCCTGGCCCTGCTGCCCCCCCTGCTCTGGCTGCAGCCCAGGGCACGGGTGGGTTCTGGGCTGTGTGTGCACGGTGTTGGCTCACGTCCAGCTTTCCCCCCCCCCAGTTCCCCGCAGTCCCTCTCCTCGGGGCTGCTCCCCACCCCTTCATCCCCCAGCCTGTGCTGATATTGAGGATCACCCCGACCCCCGGGCAGGACCTTGCCCTTGGCCGTGTTGCACTCCATGAGGTTTGCTCAGTCCTGCCTGCCCAGGCCCCTCTGGATGCCATCCCTGCCCTCCCGCGTGTCCCCCACCACACAGCTGGGTGACATGGGTGAACTTGCTGAGGGAACCCTTGATCCCAAAGTCTATATCATTGATGAAGATATTAAATAATATTAGTCCCAGTATAGACCCTTGAGGGATTCCACTCATTACTGGTTTCCACATGGACGTTGAGCCACTGACTTTAACTCTTTGGATGCGGCCATCCAGCCAATTCTCGATCTAACACTCCATCCATCAGACGCTTATCTCTCCAGTTCAGTGGCCAGCATGCTGTGGTAGACCATGCCCGAGGCCTTACAGAAATCCAGGTACATGCCATCCGTAGCGCTTCTCTTGTCCACTGATGCGGTCACATCACAGAAGGCCATGAGATTAGTCAGGCACCAGTTGCGCTTCATGAAGCCGTGCTGGCTGTCCCAAATGACCTCCCTGTCTGCCGTATGGTTGGACATGTTTTCCAGGAAGATCTGCTCCGTGATCTTAACAGGCCTGGAGGTGAGGCTCCCTAGCGTCCTCCTTTTTATGCTTTTTAAAAATGGGTGTGATGTCCAATGGATCCTGAGTCTTGCCTCCAGAAATCTTGTCTGTCTGTGTGCAGTATTGATTATCTGGAGTAACCTTCGTACTCCTGTTCATGAAACAGTAGGAGAGATTTGAGCCAAGGCAAAACTGTGAACCTCGGAGGCATTTTTATAAAGTTTTACAGTACCCATCCACGTAAGTAAGTAATTATGTTCAGATTTGAAATGTGCAATCTGCACATCAGTTACAGACGATGCTGCCATTTGACGTCATGAGCACAGTGGTTCCTGGTTACGTGAGCAGCCCTTTCTAGTCTCCGACACCGCATACCACAATCCATTAATTCACAGGTAAAAACTGTAAAACAGGTAAAAAAACCCTCCAACCACCAGGTAAAAGCTTGGTTCAGCATATTTAGAGTGTTTCCTGGCCTTACTGGGATGTGCGTTTGTTAAAAGATGTTGGATGCCTTCACCCAAAGGGAGGGGAGGGGAAGGCAGGCTGGCTGTGTGCAGTTATTAATAGCCCAAAGGATGACTTGGCTGTGAGGAGGAGGAAGGCTGGGCTTGCCAGGCAAGATCCAGGCGCTCGGTCTTGTCCAGGTAGTGCGTCTGATGTCGGATCTGGCAAAGGAAATTCTTGGACTCTCTTGTAGGAGCAGTTAACTGTTCAGGAAAAGCTTTTCACTTGCCGAGCAGAGACTGGAACAGGGACACCTTATAAAAGTTGGAAGAAGTAAAATTAAATATTTCTTAGAATTTTCCTTAATGGTAACTCAGATAATTATAATTCCATATTATCTCTCTAGGGTAGTTAGTTGCAGAGGTATTAGATGTCTGTATTTGCCATTAATCATGAAAATACTGCTGCTTTAAATATAAACCTTCTCTTTAATTAAACCAAACCAAACCAAACCCTCAAACAAACCAAAGCCAAAAAAAAAGGACAAACCAAAAAAACCCCACACCTTAATTTTTGGTATGATGGTTGCAGGTGAAAGCTACAATTAGTTTCACAGCCCCTGGAAAACCAGCCTGGCTTTTCCTCTAGCTCCGCTTACCCTCCCTGTTGTGGGTGCTTTTTGGAGTAACACTGCCATATGCTGAGGTGAGAAAAAAGTGCCATCTGACCAGCTGGTCTTCTGCCTGCGAGAAGTTCTTAAGCATCTAGCTTATTGTATGCAAAAGCCAACGTATTCTTTCTTTGTATCAATAATAATATTCTTAGCTGGTTTTCTTACCAGTTACCTCCATCTGTTTGTATTTGCAACAGATATTTTCTTTTGCTCACTTGAATTTGAAAACTTAGAAATTATTGCTCTTAACATACCTGACTTCCTTTTCCTAATGATTTAATTTCATTTTTATTAATCATTGTTTAAAACCTTAGCCTCGTTCTCCCCTTGCCTCTTCTTTCCTTATTTTACCTTTAAAAAAAAAACCCAAAAAACCCCCAAAAAAACCTATAGGGATCGTATATGAATATTAACTGTAATTACACTTTTATGTGTGTCTACTTTTTTCAGTGCTGTCTGTATGTTTGAAATACTGTTTTTCTATGCTGTTAAATAACCTCCACTTGTGTTTGTTGTATTCCTCTTCAAAATAAGAATCTTCAATGGCAACTCAGGAATGAATCCTGACTGACTAGTCCTCCATTTCTTGGAGTCTTCTGTTCATCTGTTTATCATTTATTTTCGTATGATTATATCATGTCTATACTAATACCTTCTTTGTGGTGTAACTGTTTGCCTAATGCAGATTGAAACTCCCTGAGTAAAGAATTTGTGATTTTTATCTATTTATAGCATATGAAGTATTCCTGGTAGACAGAAGTTGAGTCATAGAGAGATTTTAAGGCTGAAGTAGTTTTTGGTGTATAAAATTGAAATTTTTCTTTAATTAAGTTCTATTTCTCTTTTCTTTGCAGAAAAAGATCATGCTAAACATGTTTTTAGACACATTGATGGCTGATCCACCTCCTCAGTGCCTTGTGTGGCTGCCTCTCATGCACAGACTTGCCCATGTTGAAAATGGTAAATGGAGTATTTTCTTGTTCAAAACATCTGGTCCAAGCAGGGTTTCTGTTCAACATATGTAAATATGCTGTCCTTTCTCACGTAACGAAGCACTTAATGCCTTCGTTGTTCCCACTGTAACAGTCTTAGTCCCAGAGTATTTAAGACCAGACTGTTGTTGGATGAAAAGTGTTCTATGTTTCTGGGACGAAGACTGATTCTTTATGAACTCATCAGGAACAATGCAGAACAAGATTCGTTGTGGAGTTCTAGCACTACTTGTAGTGGAAGATGAAGAAACAAGCAGCAGAAAAATTACATTCTCTAAATGTTCATATTTATTCTGAAACTTTTAAAAAAACTTCACTTGAACTATGCTTTAACATACGCTTTCAAGTGCTAACTCCCAAAGATTTTGGTACCCATTCAAATGTCTGTCTTGAGTAGCATTTGAGCACATGAGTCACCTCAGTGCTCACTATGGGAGGCAAATGCCGAGCTCCTCTCGCTTCCAGACCTTTTCTTAGCTAAAATTTCCTGGGTTTACTGCCTATGGAAACTATTTAAGGAGCAATAAGGGATGGAAAACTGAAGATTAACAGTGAGAAAGAGTGATGAAAGAGTCATCTGGCTAAGAGAGCTTTATGGAGTTCAGGGAAGCAAAAAGGTTTCCTGCAGAAGGTTGTGCAAGTGTTTTGAAACTATTTGTTGGCTTTAGTGGCCAAAAAAGTGGTGTGTTTAATTTCTTGTACAGTTGCACACAGTGTATGATTATGATGCTTTGTATGTGAATTCTAGGAAAAACAAAAAAAACCACAACATACCGATTTTTGGGGGTTTTTTCACCCATAAGCTAATCTTCATCTTTTGTTTCCTTCCCTACAGAGTAAAATCATGTTATCACCCTTCAAAACCCCTGCCCTACTAGTTGTTACCTCTTCTTCTGCTTTAATGCATTTATAGTCATTTCAAGGTGTATAGACTTCTTTCTTTTAAGACACAGGTAGATAAGCTCTAGACTCTTGGTTTTGCCTAGCTGTTTACAGGCACAGCTTGGCAGTCTGTCTCTAGCGAGGTTTTCATGATTTATATTCTATTCTCTGTTTCCTGACATTTATGCCTGTGACATGGTTAAGTATTGCTGTGATTTTGATGTGCTGGGTTTTGGCATTTGTTTCATTGTCTTCTCTTGATCCTCTTGCAAACTGTATCTGGTTGTGAATTTAATCTGCATTTGCTCAGCAGTGAACAAGATTGGAATTGCAATGCTCCATAGGCCTTTTCTTCCTTATTGCAACAGAAGCAAAAGGGAATTTTCCAATTGCTCTATAGGTTTACAGACATTTCCTGAGAACTGTGGATCTCATTAAAAAAGTGATTTTTAAAAGAATGTTGAAGGGAGCAAATTCATGGAGACAAATCTTATGGGAAATCTAGCCAAAAAGGTGAGAGGGTTGATCTAGGTAAAATATTAGGTAAACTACAGTACTGCAGTGTCTTACCCATCCTTATGTGACAGGCTGCACTAACAGAAGAGCAACAGCGACTTATTGCTTCCTCCCTCTTCCTTTATCCTTTTACCCTTATAAACTTCTATGTCAGGAAAAGCACACAGGGTGGAATAAATACAGTAAGGAAACAAGCAGTAAAATTGTTTATGTGAATTACAGGTCAAAAAAGAATAGCACAGAACTTAGGCAAAGGTAAAACGTTTGGACATAAGTGAAATGATGGAAAGATCTGGAGATAATCCGTAGTCTGATCTTTTTTCTGCTTGAAGGTACCTGGAGGAAGTTACCAGATACCCAGATTAATATCATCCTTATAGATCAGTGCATGCATTCCTACCCTGTCTGACAGCTTCTCTTGCCCGCATTGTGCGGTAGGGCTGCTCCCATGCAGACCCCAATCCAACCATCTTCCCTGGGAGCAGTTGCATAAGTGCCCCTTTTGCTGACACTTTCTTCCAAGCAGCCAGAGATTCTCCCCACTCATCTCTTCTGCCAACCAGTCCCCACTTTCAATCCTGTTACACATAGGCTTAGCATTCAGATAACTTGATACAATAACTTCTAATGTTTGTGGTATTAAAATTACATTTCTAGTTCTTATCAACCTCTTCTACAGCTGCCTCCCAAACTGCTTGATGAATGATGTCACTAACAATAATTTGTGCCATTGTTCTTGCCCTAAGTTATTACTTTTTTTCCTCAGAAACTTTTATTCTATTGCACGTGGTATTTTTGCTTCAGATTCAGGCAGCAGTTCCTCTGTCTGCATAAAAGAGCTGATGAGAAATCATTGCAGCTGATGTACAGAGGTATGTGGCAAGCCACAGCAGGCTTAGCAGGTGGGGAAGATCAAGTCTGGATTAGGTCCCTAGAGTAAAAGAAGTTAAGGGAGGCCTGGTGTTGGGGCCTGACTATGGGAGGGTAAAAATAGAAAATGTTAAGGAAAGAGACAGTAGAAGAAACGAGCTTGGGGATCACTAGGACATTTGGTAGGAAAAGAGACATTTAGGGAAGCCACAGCTCTGATAACAGATGTGCCCACTAAGGAAAAAGGAAGCCAGAAGCTTTTATAGTTCAAAGTCTGGGACAGGACATATGCAAGAGTTCATTGTTGCTATGGATCTGGATGGAATATCTCTTGTTAAATGGTAATTTTCAATGCTTAAGAAGCAGAAGATGGAAGGTATGAAGCTTGTGCTCACAATGGCTACTGCTTTGGATTCTGTGACTAAATTAATATGAAGTTACTGTGTAAGAGTTGTGTAGGTTTTAATATCTGCATATATGAAAATACCACAGATCATCTTTTACTTGGGTGTGGTGGTATGCTGTACTGTGCCTTCAGTCAGACTCGTCAGCCTTACAAGCCAGCCAAAACCAATCCTCTGATTGGGAGGAAAGACTTGGCCACAGGGATTCATTCTCTAGTCTTCATCCATTACCTGATAATGGGCTCCTGCCCCACGTGCATTCTTCTTTGAGAAACTGCCTCCACTTCTGATCCTGAGCAGTTGTTCAGTGCTGCGCGTAGGACTGCTCTCTCCCAGGACTGGCATGGTGGGAACGTCAGCACTGGGTAGGGTAGGGATTGGCATCTCCCTGGGGAGATCTTGAAATCTGAGACGTTGGGCTCCCAGACAAAATACTGGAGTTGTTTCACAGTTGTGTTCCACAATTAGTAATAGGGTTTAAGTTTCAGACCTTGATTTGGGCCCTTAATGACTTTGGTACACTTAGTTTTTAGATTTTAAGCTACATCTGGAATCTGTGTTTCAGCACTATGAAATTTTCTTAGAGAAAGGTTATCGGATCCAGTGTAAACTAAAATTTGCAGCAGTCATAACAGGGAGAGTAACTCCAATATCCACCCAGGTGCTGGAGCTTGCTTTACTAGGGCTGCTACGGAAGGTCTCTCTAGCTTTGAACCTCTGTTACGTTGTGATCTGATACCAGAGCTTGAGAACTGTGAAACCTCTCCACCTTTACCAGTGGAAATTATAAAGGCAGATCCTTCAGGTTCAGTGGCAAAACTTGGACAAAAGGACAGCTTGTGACAAATAACCTCCCTGCTCAAGGTAAACTTCACTCTCTAGAGTTACACAGGTTGTTTTAAATTTTTGGTTTTAATGGAGATGCTTTACTAGAGGTGCTGAACTGTTTTTTCAGAATCGGTTTGCAAGGCTGTAGTTGAGTATCCTGACATGTATATGAGGATTCTCCCAGGGCAGATTCATAAGAAAGTGAGGTCTTAAAACCAGTTTTGCCTTTTCCCTCATGAGCCTCACAAAGTCCAGCACTTGGGAAGGAATAACTCCATGCACCAGTGCACACTGGGGACCGACTGGCTGGAAAACAATTTGGCAGAAAAGGGCCTGGGAATCCCGGGGGACACCAAGCTGAACATGAGCCAGCAATGCCACCTCGAAGCAAAAGAGGCCAACGGCGTCCTGGGCTGCGTTAGGTAGAGGAAGGTGTTTGTTGCCCTCTGTTCAGCACAGGTGAGACCAAATCTGGGACACCGTGTCCTGCGCTGGGCTCTCCAGTACAAGGGAGACGTGGACTTACCAGAGCGAGTCCGGGAAAGGGCCACAAAGATGATTAAGGGACTGCAGCGTGTGTGGTACGAGGACAGGCTGAGGTGGGACTGCTCAGCCTCCAGAGGAGCCTCGGGGGCACCTTTTCAGTGTGTGTAAGCAGCTGGTGGGAAGCAGTAAGGAAAATACAACTGCGCTTTTCTGAGGGGTATCCGGTGGCAGGATGAGAAGCAATGGGCACAAATGGAAGTGCAGGAGACTCTGTTTAAATATAACAATGACATTTTTTTTTTTTATTGTGAGGGTGGTCAAACTCTGCGTCAGGGTGCCCAGGTTGCAGAGCCTCCACCCTTGGAGATATTCGGAACCCGGCTGGAGCGCAGCCTGCTCGGGCTGCCCCTGCTCAGGGCAGAGCTCCAGAGGTCCCTCCTGTCCTCGGCGCCTCAGGGAGTTTGTGATGCAATGACAATCCCATTGAATCGTTCCCTGAAGAAGTTCTCTTCCACCACAACTCTGTAAACAAAGTTGATCTGATAAAAGCGGGCTCACTTCAGAAAGATCCGTCCTTTAAGTTTGTGTCTTCGCTCCTACTGTCTTGAACACTTATTCCTCGTAGGGTCTGTTTGGCAGCAGTCTTGTTCTGGAGTCAGTTCATTTCCACCGCAAGTTAGTTTTCTCTGGATTGCACCATGTCAGAGTGTAATGCTTTTCTTCCCTAACCTTTCCTCCTAACCAGATGTTTGTCTTCTTCACAGCTTGTAAATATTCTCATTAATTACTCTGGCAGTCACTGCTGAGTTACTTCAGAGGCACTTGAACACCTCAGTTGATACCTTTAAAAAAAAAATCAAAATCCTGCAATTTCCTTGGTTATCTTTTCAACTCTGATATAAGCAAAAGGCAATTAAGCTCCGAACTGAGCTCGTTTTATTGTTGAAATAACATTTACAGGTAAAAAAATAACATACCTTGT